TTAGCAGAAACACCCCCCCCAAGCATAATGTTTTCACCTCCACTTTGATGGTGGGGATGATGTAATAGGCTGCATTCCTCCTCCTCCAAACACGGCGAGTTGAGTTGATGCCAAAGAGCTCGATTTTGGTCTCATCTGACCACAACAATTTCACCCAATTCTCCTCTGAATCATTCAGATGTTCATTGGCAAATTTCAGACGGGCCTATACATGTGCTTTCTTGAGCAGGGGGACCTTGCGGGCGCTGCAGGATTTCAGTCTTTCTCGGCGTAATGTATTACCAATCGTTTTCTTGGTGACTATGGTCCCAGCTGCTTGAGATCATTGACAAGACCCTCCCATGTACTTCTGGGCTGATTCCTCACTGTTCTCATGATCATTGAAACTCCATGAGGTGAGATCTTGCATGGAGCCCCAGACTGAGGGAGATTGACAGTTATTTTGTGTTTCTTCCATTGCAAATAATCGTACCAACTGTTGTTACCTTCTCACCAAGCTGCTTGGTGATAGTCTTGTAGCCCATTCCAGCCTGGTATAGATCTACATTCTTGTCCGACAGAGAATGGTCTTGGTCTTGGCCATGGTGGAGAGTTTGGAATCTGATTGATTGATTGCTTCTGTGGACAGGTGTCTTTTATACAGGTAACAAGCTGAGATTAGGAGCACTCCCTTTAAGAGAGTGCTCCTAATCTCAGCTCATTCCCTGTATAAAAAACACCTGGGAGCCAGAAATCTTGCTGATTGATAGGGGATCAAATACTTATTTCATTCATTAAAATGGAAATCAATTTATAACTTTTTTGAAATGCGTTTTTCTGGATTTTTTTGTTATTATTTTGTCTCTCACTGTTAAAATAAACCTACCATTACAATTATAGACTGATCATTTCTTTGTTAGTGGGCAAACGTACAAAATTAGCAGGGAATCAAATATTTTTCCCCTCACTGTAGATTAACTCCAAGATTAACATCAGACCAATAATCAAGTAAACAATACCCCAGTCAAGAAACTGCCAAAGAAGCCACCCCCACCAACACTGACAGGCAAGCCACTAGAATATAAACTGACAGCAAACTACTTACTAGCACTGATGATGCTACCTAATTTGGGTAATGAAATGTCTGCAAGAAAACAACAAGCTCAGAGAGCACCAAGTAGTTTTTCTTTCAGTGTGTTATTTTTAAATGTTTTTAAGAGTACTAATTAGTGTTTAACTGCTTAATATATTAGCCCTGCAAACCTCTTCTAGCATTTACAACAAAATATAGCAGAATAAAAATAAACCCTAATTTCTCAAAATAAAACTCAAATTGATCTCCCACAGTATGATTGTATGGGCCCCTTAACCTGTTGAGTGTAGTAATTTCTGCCGGATGGCACCATTTTACTAACTGCATCTTCTTTTTCCCCTCTAAGCAAAATGGCATCAACCATAGTAAGAAATCCTCTTGCTCTTACTGTATAATATTTAGGGTTGAAAAGAGCAATCCAGTACTTTATTTTACTGTTCCAATGAAGGATGCTTGGCATTGTTAGAGGCCTACATGATTACTCTACTCCTTCTCTGTAAAATCCTTCTGTATGCTTTTTTTGATCAGTTGTTCTTTTCATCTAGCTCTTTGAGCGTACCTGCCATCAATATGATAAACTGCGCAAGCGTGAAGCCTTCCTGGAACAGTTCCGAAAGGAAGACATATTCAAAGAGAACTTTGATGAACTTGACGATTCCCGAAATATTGTCCAGGAGCTGATTGATGAATATCATGCTGCTACTCGGCCTGGCTATATCTCTTGGGGCACTCAGGAGCAATAAATTAATTTGTAGTGTGCTTTTTCCTGTCTGGAGTATTTTCTTCTTGTAACAATAAATTCTTTTAAATCTGTCAGTTTCTTTTTCTGTACTTATATCTGGAAGTAGTTGCAGATCTCCAAGAGAAGAGATTCTTTCTATGCTGTTTGGTTTATAACTATTCATTTAGTGACCATTCAAAGTTATAACAGCACTGAAAAAGTGATTTATGACCGTCTTTCACTCTTAGGACCGTTGCAGCATCTTCATGCTCATGTGATCAAAACTTGGATACTAGGCAACTGGCATGTATTTATGACCGTTGCAGTGTCCTGGGGTCATGTGATCACCTTTTGTGACTTTCTGACAAAGTCAATGGGAAGCCAAATTCACTTAACAACCATGTTACTAATGTAACAACTGCAATGATTCACTTGACTGGCAAAAAAGGTCATAAAATGGGGCAAAGCTCACTTAACCGCCTTGCTTAGCAATGGAAATGTTGGGCTCAGTTGTGATTTTATGTCATTGGGCTCAGTTGTGATTTTATGTCAAGGAATATCTACTTGGTGAGCTATCATTAAGCCCAGCTTCCTCCTTTCTAAAGGAATCTGGCTAAATTAACATCAAGCAATATGCCTATTTTTTTGTTTATTTTTAACATTCTTAAAATGCTTTTTCTGTTTTAAGCTATGTTTATTTGCACGTTTCTGCTGAGGAAATCTCTGAATGGATAATGAAGAGAAATATCTATAGGCGTTTTAAAATAATCCAAACCTGTATTTCCTGCATAAGTTTCTGGCAATTTGTATTACTCAGCATTTAATCTGCAGCTCCATTAGCATATAATAGATGAAGACAGATTAAAACAGGAAGGATAAGCCAGGCAGTGGATATCTGTGTAGTCATCTATGCCAGCAATGAAGAAGCATAGTGACTTTGATTGTGAAGCTACTTGGGCAAATACTGCTCCATTTTGTCAGTGACAGAGGAATTACAATTGTCATAACAATCAAGACTTCATATCATTTGAGCCAGTATACTTTATTCTTCTGTTGTTTACCTGCCAAAGTGATTTTCAGTAGTTAATCTGTCTGCTTCTGTGTCAATAATCCTTCTATTGCCCATGTCACTTTGAGTTGATCATCTGGGAGTTGGGAGCATTTTTAATGAACTTTAATGAGTTCTAAATTTTTTCCCCATCTTTTCTCCTTCCTGAAAGTAGCTAAGTAAATGCTTCCATTTGATCCTGTCCTGAAAAAGAAGGATTTTACACCAATTCCATATTTATCCCAGAACTGATTAAAGTATAATCTTGCTTTATACCAAAAGCTAAAACATACAGTAGACTGGGTTGGTGGAGGGATAATATGTTCACTATCCTTTTTATTCTTTCCTGCCCAATGGAATGTCAGAGAGTAAAGTATGTGAAGAAGCTTGGGATTCTGCCTGCCTGCTTGCCAATCAGCAGGATAGTTTTCCAAAAACAGAACGGGAACAGAATGATTAGAAAGTAAGCCAAAGCAATTTAGCACTCCTGGAGAAAAATAATCCAGAAGAACTTCACCCAGTGCATACTTATGGGAGAGGCTTTTGAGCAGTGTCTCAGAATGTTACTGACCTTGCTATTTTTAAGCCCCTCCCTCCTCTCCTAGTCATGTGATTTAAAATAGAGCAGTTGTTAAAGGCTTAGAATTTTAGAAGTTAGATTGCTATTAGCCTAATTTTGGGGAAATATAAAGAAAAAAGGTGATGCTTTATTATAGAATTGTACATTTTGGGGGTTTAATTTTGAAAAGTCAGCACCTTGGTATTTGGGAGAGTTTGCATCTTCGGGTTTTATGTTTGTGTTGATCAGGAAAGCAGAACAGTGCTTAATTTTAAGAAAGTTATTAGCTTTTTAAAGAATATTTTGTCTATTGTATAAACCATTCTTTTTATGTGGAAAATAATTGCAAGCATTTAGAAGCATTTTTTTTCTTTTTGCCTTCACATTTATAATTTCTGGATTCCTGTGGAAAAAGAATATAAAGTAGGTTATGATGTTCACTGTTTAACAAGGTGCAAATGCTTGGAAAAAATGCTGGTATTCTTTGGCTTTAATGTGTACGGTTTGCAGCTATCCTTTTAATATATCTTGATCAGCACCCCACAATAAGGCCACAGGTAGTCCTCGACTTACAACAGTAATGGAACCCACTATTAGTCACTGGTTATAACAGTCATTAAGGTGCCTACGTGATTGCCTTTACAACCCCAATCTCTGCTCTCCCCATTATGGTCATCAAGCGAACCACAGGATGCTTCAGGGGTGGGAGAGGTGCTGGGATACCTAGTGCAGGCCAGGCATCCATTGCAGCACCTTTTCAGCTCTCATATGGCCTGCCCTGGTTACTCCCCTACTCTGAAGCAGCCCATGCTCTGCTTCCCAACCTGCTGGGTCTGCACTCTCCTTCTCCCCCTGTCATAGCTTGCCACACTTGTGGACTTCCTCAAACTGAGGCCACAATCTCCTAATATACAGGGAAGGCAGAGGCAGATAGGCCAGCTCTCCTTCCCAAACATAATATTCAGAATGCAATCCATAAGAGCAGGAGGATTGCCAACACCCAAATTTTGTTCACATGACACAGGAGTGATGCAGCGCCCGTAACTTTGGGCAGGGATTGTTAGTCCTTTTATTTAGTCTTTATTCAAACAGTTGCTGAATGCATGATCTTTAAATCGAGGACTACCTCTAAATAATTATTATTTCTTTATCCCTTAATATATATTCTTAAGAAGCAACCAAAGGGGAGAAAATAATGGCTCTGACTAATTTCTATAACCTTTGTTTGATAGACTGTGTCAGTAGGAATAGCATACCAGGTATCATTTAGATGAAGGAAAGGGAAAGCAATAAAATTGTCTTCAGCTTTCTTTGGAACAAAGGGTTGTTTTGTTTTACACAGGAGAACAGAACAAGAAGACACTTCGTACAAAAAGTATTTAATCAAAACAGTCGTGGAAACGAAGAATCCCTCTGTATAGAACAGGAGTCTCGAACCCTTGGTCTGAGGACTGGCACCCCTCTGCGGCATGCCAGAAACCAGACCATGCAAACAAGCAAAGCCCCATCCATGAGATGCAGGCAGCACGCAAAACCACATTCCCTCCGGCCCATGGAAAAACCTCTCTCCACAGAACTGGTCCTTGGTGCCCAAAAGGTTGGGGGCCACTGATATAGAAGACATAGTTTATCAGCTCCTTAGGAGCGAACAATATCACTATTATTCCTTTCAATGACCAGAATATATGCTGATCCAAGATTCTTGCCAGGATACATAGGAGTCAACTCAAAATTCTACCACTGGCATTTTGGGGAATATTTCCCTGTTCGTGTGATTACTGGGAGTTCTTGAAGCTGAACATGCTTGTCTGTTGATGCTGCAGAATTGTCTTCATCTGAAAAAAGAAAGCAACAGGTCTTTGGAGGCAGATAAACACTAGTGTCCTCCCAGGATATAACTGCCTTCCAAATACCTTCCATCTCTTGGACAACTGCAGAACAAAGAGAAAATTAAAGAAGAGTTTGGTATACATCTTTTCAGTCAGAAAAGCTGGAGAAATGTCAAGGACACAGAACATACAGTTGGAAATACCATGTTGCAGCTCTTCTGAGTGTGAAAAATTGGAATGCTGAACAAACGGAACTATCAGTGGAACTTAGTTTGCTTCAGTCAACTAGCATGCATAGCTAATTAGCAGCCTAGTAAGGATACATTTTTTGTTCAGATTTGCTAAAGTTGGGTAAAACTAATTTGCCATGTTAAACAAACCACATATGGGGTTTATAGATATATAAACTGAGTACAAGCAATCATGTTCTTACACTTTTATATTAAATATTTAACATGCATTAATCAAACATCATACATTGTAGTAGAGCTGGATTCAGAATAGTACAAGAGTGCAGAGCTTTCGGTCTTCAACACCCCTACATTTGTTACTGGTTCCTTTTCTTGTACTGAACAAACTTCCAACTTTTTGGACAAGATGTATAGATTGTTAACAGAAAAAATTAGCAGGGGTTGGGAATAAGATACACTGGCTAACTATGTATGAAGGCAGAGGAACAGTGGATGTTTGCAGCAATATATTAATTAAAGCAAAACTCACCCATCAAGAGATATAAAAATGATATCACACAATCTCAGTTGCCTCTAGACAATTCCCATATGCATCAACTATTCTTAATAGAAGAATAATTCCTAGTCCTAATCAAGAACCTAACCAAATTCTTAAAATATTTCTGTCTGCCCTTTCACATGTGGCTTTGTCCAAATTGGTACCAATCTATTTTCATATTCTCCAGATGGAGTAACTCACCTGAGGATAACCTGGAAAGAGCAGAGCTAATCACTTTCCAGACTGATTCAGAGAGGCTTCCATGCCTTCAGCTGTCCCATACTACATTTCTTTAACAGATGATGACCCACATCAGAGAAATGGCCTTCAGGGTACTACTGTGTAGATGTTCTTGCTTCTCTACTTATCGTTTGGCCAAAGAAGATCCAAAATCCAACAGACAATGCCCTAACACAAAAGGCCCTGGAGGCAGGTAATAGTGTGTAGTTATATGATACTGAAGGTAGTATAACATAAGAATAAAGCAGGTTAATACAAAACTGGTTGAAGCAGGGATATAACAAAGTTGCCCTTCAAATTCTGAGTGTCTCCTTAAAGATAGGAAACTACTACTAGTGGACAGCTTGTATGGCTAGATTTTGGAATAAAATTCTCCACTTTGGGCTTGATCTCTCACACAGGATGACCCTTATCTCCAGCACTAAAAAGCAATGCACACTGTTGGCTGCTGCAAAGGATTTAACTCACATTGAGACACCCTTGTAATTGAACCATAGTTTCAAGGTCTCCAGTATAATGCCTGTCCACCATAGCTAGAACACTTAGGTAAGAAAGTCAGTCCATTGGGGTAGGGACAGACCTCTCCTTTCAAAGTTAACAGTAGGGGTTTCTGACTTACAGAATGCATTGTTTCCAAATTATAGCTTTAAAGTCTTGCAAATTCGAATTTTTATTTTGCTTAGTTCTATCCCAACCTGACAAAGGGAGGCTCCTTCACTACAAAAGCAAGCTACTCTTATTTATGTATTCATTCATTCATCTATTTTATATCATCTCTCAAATACATTATTTAATTGTTGCCCAATAATGTTTAAAAACAAAGTACAATATAAAAATGATTAAATAAAAACTTAGACAACACAATCTGCAACCAAGGTGTAAAAGGCTTCGCTTCCTGGATCTCACCTGATTGCATTCCCTTACAGGTGGGACTCAGATCACGCCTCTTCTGAAGAATCTAACTGGTAGATGTAATTGGGGATAGGTGGTCTCTCATATAAACCAATCTGATGCCATAATGGTTGCTGCAGCCAGACAGGCTCCATACCTCGTTGTTGTTGTTGTTGTTGTTTTACAATGAAGATTCTAAACATACTGTCAACTCTTGGTCCCTTTTTTCAATTTAGCTATAACTGATACACATATTTTTATGGGAATTTTTTTTCAAACCTGATAAAACTATTTAGTACATTTGTTGAACAGGATTGCTTATGCTGCCAGTTCTCCATGTGGAAGATAAATGAATTGGAGATACAGGCCACACCTAAATGCAACATCAGTTCTTGAGTCATCTGGGATAAGGTGACAAAGGGGGGGGGATGACAAAAGGCCTAATAATGTCCAGTAGGAAAGTACTCAGTGCTGCAAACATCAGTGTCAAACATGCTGAAGAAAAATAAATGGGTTGAGGAGAGGAAGAAAATGATTTAGCAATTTATATGGAGAATAAAAAGCCAAATGTAATTGTTCTACCAAACTACATAGTTAAATGATACTACCATGTTTCCCTGAAAATAAGACCGGGTCTTATTTTGATTTTTGCTCCAAAAGATGCATTGTGGCTTATTATTTTCTGGTTAGGGCTTATATTCGGAGAAATACGGTACTAAATGCGTCTGGCTGACACTCTTAACTGGGGCTTATTTTTGGAGGCTTTGGAGCATCCTGAAAAATGTTGCTAGGGCTTATTTTCTAGTTGGGTCTTGTTTTCAGGAAAACACGCTATATAAGCCTAATTCCTGGCTGTTGGTAAGAAACTAGAGTTGTAGAACTTGCTATTTCCAAAAAGATAAAAGTTACATTGCCAGCATCAGTTATATCCTATGTGCAGCCTTTTTTGCATCTCACCAATTAAGCAATCTGCTCACCTTCTGGGCTGTAGCATTAGATGTGATGGCCACATAACAGGTGGTAGTACCAGCACAATGCGTGGAGTGTGGGATTTCCTGGCTTCCTATTAGTGCTACAATCTCATCCAAGGAGGGCACACACTCCCGCCCTTTGCTTTTGTGCAGAGCTTGTGTGATTAAATGTCCATAGTGGGTCACTGGTGATCTTGGGAACAATTTCTCCATCCTGTTGGGTCAGGGAAGATAAAGTATTAGGTGAGTAATTCCATTAAGTTTTATTAATTAGAATACTGCACCGACTTCCCTCCAAGATGGCATGCTGAGTGGTGGTAGTGGTGGGGATTTGCTTCTCCTGTTGACAAACAGCTGATTTTGCTGCCAAAGAAAGTTCTTTGGCTGCTGGCTCAAATGGGAGCAGTTAGGACTCTTGGACAACCATGGACCCTCCTGGGAAGAGGAATCCTCGAGGTTGCAATTCCTAGTAGGGGCAGTCGGAGAATCCCAGTCTATATCTTTCCTTTCAGCTGTTTGTTTTTTTAAGCACATCTTCACTTTTAAATGCATATTGGAAAGTTTTATTTTTTTAATTCTTATTTTTAAAAGTTAATTGATTGGTTGAAGGCTGATTTACTCTAACCCCTTGCTTGGTTTTAATGTTAACTTTCCTTCTTTGCTTTACTGTTTTTGGTTTTTTCCCCCACTGTGAGCTTCTTTGGCTTTCACTATGAAGGTAACTGGCAACTTTCTGAGTAATGAGACCAACCAGACTGGATTCACATCTATATAGGATTTCACTGCAGAATTTAACTTTTAAAAAGCTCTGGTCTGGATTTTTTCTTTTTAAATTTTTGATGGAACTTTTCCTTTTTCCCCCCAATGTTCTATGTAGCTATTTTGTTACATTTATCCTTTTTGTTTTAGAAAGGAATTGTTTTCGTTGGTTGTGTAAGTTCAAATACAAGAGAGTCTGCCTTATATTAAAAATGCAAATAATGCATCAAGCTAAAGATAAAGTCTGGTGGGGTATCTTCACAGAAAAATGTTTTTTAATCTACAACTTCAAATTGAAAACTTTGGTTAAAAGCTTAATAAAATTACCTGGGTTTCAAATCAACCTAAAGAGAATACCCAGATGTAAACAAATATAACCAAGCCAGACTGACAAATGGATGGACTGTAATCTAAGTCTATGATGGCAGATTTGGAGTAGTTTGGCTGGAAAGCAGAAGGCCTGTTGCAGAAATTTGAAGATCTGGATTTTACAGACTTAGAATTGGCAAATTTGATGTCTGATCAACTGGACTCTGTTAAGAAGATGGACTTATCATGTCATATTGGTAAATAATTTGGACTTGATTTTCCTGGGAAAATCGATTGATTATACCTAACCAAACAAAAACTGACAAGAGACTTAATATCTTGGTTCACAGTGAAACTGCTTCAACAATGGATGTGGTGGAGATATTTACAATAGAGGTGTAGAATATTGGAAGAGGTATTGTTGGGAAAAGAACAAAATGAAGATATTTGATCCTGAATGGATCAGAGATAATGATTGTGGTGATTTGTGGGAGAAGCCATTGTAGACTTTCTATGAGTTAAATATGACAGATTGTTAACAGAGGGCTTTGAAGTTTACCTTTGCTATTGATTTATCTGTTAACTATTTTGTTTTTACATATAGTAGATAGATTACAGGCTAAGTTGGTTGTAAATAGATGTAGAAGTGTATTGATTGTGGGCCAGCTTTGCAAGGGGGAGAAACTAACATTGTTGCAATATAATTATCAGTAATCAAACAGAGGGGATAATAATTGTTCATGTTTTGTTTTTTGTTCTTTTTAATGCACAGTTTTTGTTGTTAATTTTTTGGAATTTGTATTTTAACTTTTTGAACAAAATAAAAAAAAATTACTAACACATGAAATTGTTTGGAAGGTTTGGACTGGGGGACATATTTCAGGGTTTCAGAGGCTACTGCTGGGTTGAAGCTGTTTTTTCAAGTATTGTTCATTAAATGTTCTGAGTCAAACTGGAGAATAAAGAAACAGATATATAAATAATACTGCACCTACAAAAATATTCTCTCTAAAGGCCTGCCTTGCACATTGCTCAAATGTGTCAAATGAATTATCTTTCTAATCCACTTCCTGCCTACTAGACCATAAGCAAACTTAATGGAAATTTATTGGCAACTGAAATCATGTTGTCTCTGGACACATTAAAAAGGGAGGACATCTTTGTTCACACCCTCCTGCATATAAAACAAAGAAGGATGTCGAACAGGGACTCTCCCACCCTTTCACTTCCCTCAGATTGCGTGAAATAGTCTTTGCCAGTTGCTTTGCAGTCAGTGCTGAAAGTTTGTGACCAAAGTATTTCATTAAGAATGGGAACTCATGGCCATCCCACTATTGCTGAACTACACCTACCAGCAGCACCAACTAGCAAAGCTAATGGTGAACGATGCTAGGAGTTGTAATTCTTCAACAGGTGGAATATCCCAAGTTTCCACTTCTGCATTAGACGTGTTTTGCACTGTTTCCCATTTCTCTGGCTCACCGCTGTAGATGCAGATGCAAATAGCAGAGTATAGGCACAGAAGGTATAAATGTGTAGCTCATGCACACAAGCAGCTGCCAATAGCGCAAATCTGTGGGTGCCCCTGTAATAGGTGGCTCTGTTGTCTGTTTCACCAGTTGGCAGAATATTTCATCCACCAGGGCTGGAAGGTCATGGCAAGTTTGCAGCACCCCCTGCATGAGAAGGATTGGATCTCGCATTTCTTCAAGCTGTTGTAGTGAATGGAAGAGTTTGACAGCTTCATCACGAAGCCCTGCATACCCTTGGCCACCCTGAGCTGCAAAATTGGGCAAGGTGGGGTGAGAGGAAGAAGATAAGAAAAAAACAACAATTAGGTATTATACATTTAAGATCTGCTCAAGCGCTTGCTCTTATTTTCTCCTCTGTAAGGCAGAGAATTGGAATATTTCATGCACACAGTTTGTATTTAAGTCAAGTATTGCATTTGGTCTTTAAATATTGAGTGGTATGGGATTTGTTTTCATTTAAATTCAATATAGTTGATATAATAATTTTTTTAACATTTAACAATGTTTCATTTCTGGCATCTTAAACTTTAGTGAGGTGATGAGTTTTGGAGGGCCCCTCAGGGCCATGCTCCTGAAAGACCACAAGTAACACAACTTTAGCATACAACAAATAATGAAGTCAATAAGTTATGGATTCTGATTACTAGCTACCCACCTGCATAAGGGAAGGGCAGAAGAGGTGCATAAATTGGGCCAGCTGTATAACATAGGATGGGATTATTGCGATAAATTTGATCCAAGATTTCTGGGCTGTCGCGGTTCTCCTGCAATAGAGAGAGAAAAATGGGGGGAGGGGAGAGAGAGATTTAGTCTATATTTCTACTTAATAAGATTACTGAAATTAACATCAGGTTCTTCATGCAAAATTCTTAGAACTAAGGCCCAATCTCTAGAGTTGCCATATTCCAACATAGCATCCTCCTAAGCAGAATGTGTTAAGATGACTGTTGTCTTTGTAAAGGGCCTGGCACTTCAGTAATTGCCGTTATCTGTGATTGACCCAGAAGCTTCAAGAACCTTCCAATCTCCATCTGTATTTTATAATGGAAACCTTAGGAGAAATGGACAATATATGTATACAATAGTACAGCTGTGGAGATGAATTGAAATTAAATAACAGAAATAAAAGTAATCCTCGATTTATAACCATTCATTTAGTCATTATTCGAAGTTACAACAGCACCGAAAAAGTGACTTATGATTGTTTATGATATTTATGATCATTGTAGCATTTCCATGGTCATGTGATCAAAATTTAGACAACTGGTTGGCAACTTGCCAATTGGTTCATATTTATGACATTTGCAGTGTTCCAGGGTCATGTGATCACATTTTGTGACCTTCTGAAAAGCAAAGTCAATGGAGAAGCCAGATTCACTTAACAACCGTGTTACTAACTTAACAATTGTGGTGATTCACTTAACAATGGTGGCAAGAAATTTTGTAAAATGAAACAAAACTCACTTAGCAACTGTTTCACTTAGCAACATAAATTTTGGGCTCAATTGTGGTCATAAGTTGAGGAATGTATCTTTACACTTACAAATAACTTACTGAAATTTAATTTAATGAATATTCATAGCATCCTCCTGAATAAGATCTGCTCATTGCCATATGGTTTGAAAAAGTAAATATCAAAATATTTTGATGCACTTAACATTACATTGAAATTAAAGCTATCAATTTAACCATAAAGGACTGAGTTCCTGGTCCACTCAGAACATTGCATGTGATTATTGTTTTCTGTCCACACTTCAGAGAAAAGTCACCACATGTTTCCCTTGACTATTTTTGCCAAAATCTCCCAGATTCCTATTGCCAGTTAACCATGCCCCCATTCCTACTCCCAACAACATGTCTTTGTGCTCATTTGGTTCCTCACCTCAATGTCACGCATGAGGAGTTGTGTGGGGGTCTGCAAAGGGGCCTTGCTGATGATAACCTTCTGCAAAGCACAAACCCAGTGTACAGCTTCATTTAAGTGTTCTGTATAGAGTCGGTAGCAGTGCTTTCTGCCAAAAACTGTCACTGCCCAGTAGCCTGGAGGAATGGGAGACAGAAGTACTCATATATAATTAATATGAAGATAATCATAGACAAGTGTAAGGAAATTTGACCTATTTTCTTAAAATGCATGGATTATATTTTCACTATGCAAAAAGCGGCAAAAATTAAAAATGCTTCTTAAGTAAATCTATGGAATTTGGATATCTTAGTAGCTGACCACAGCCTGGTAAGAAAACTCAAAAACCAAGCCTTTGCTGAAATCATTCATTCCTGTTGCTACAAAGAAACTACAATGGTATTGAAACTGAGCACAAAATTCTTTAACCATCCGAGAGCAGACAGTCTTTACCTGTTTCCTTATAGGTTTGCTTGTCAGGCCACAGCACAGAGCAGAGGCTAGTGAGAACAAGGGATCCAAGGCGTTGGGCGCTCACCTCACACCCGCTGTAGTAGTCTAGGGAATCTTCTGTCAACACAAACCAGTATTTGCGAGGACGCAGCCAGGGAGTTTTAATACCTCCTCGGACCTCTCTCTGCAGCCAGCCTGGAAGATGAAAAAAAGCCAAGTCCTTTCAGATTTAAGATCATTAGATTACTTTTAAATAAAAAATAAAAAAGGGAGGGGAGGAGACAAACAAACTTGAGTCTAAGTTCCCACCTTTCACAATAGCATCAGGTTCATATTGCATCCTTCCACAGTTCTCTGTGATAAGACTGTGTGTCTCTTCAGTCACTGGCAAAGACCTGAAGGCAGCAAACAGAGAAGAAAAAACAGGCATCAGTCAGACCTACATCAGTACAAATGAAAGGAGATTGATTGATCTTTCCGTAAGATTAAACCCATCTCTTTCAGTCCCCCCCCCCCAAAAAAAAAACAGCAACAATTTGTTGGGCTCCTGATGTTATCTATCCCAACCTATGGGTTTTCATTTGATGGATCAGGAGTCTCTACTGATGGCAGCTAGATTTTAAGTCATAACAGCAGCACTGCATTACCAACACAAATGGTTTTGCAAAGATGAGCCTGAGAAGTTTTGGAAAACCTTCAGGTGCTTTCTCAGTAGATTATCTCTTCTGTACACTTTTATTCTCATATTGGGATATAATTCCCAAGTCTCCCCCTTTTTTAGAAGGAAAGAGGAAGAATATTGCCCCTCAGTCCCATTTCTTCCATAGTGCTGGGAAACTAGTCTGAGATTTTGCACTGTTAACCTCAAACTAAAAATAAGCTGTTTATATAGAAGGGCTGCCAAGAATTTGGGAAATGAAGGAGCTCAGCTGAGGAGAGGATGCTGGCTGGATTGCCTGAGATGAGCGGGGAAGATATATAGAAAGAGAGAGATCTTGGCATTTGTGCATGAGAGAGAAAGCCTCCTCCTCCTCCTCCTCCTCCCTATTCATGATTCTTTATAAGACATTGTAGATAGTCCTATCTCAGAAATTACTGCAGATAAGATTCATCTCTGCAGGTGTTCAAGGCATTATCAAGTACTTTTCTATTTCTATTTGATTTATCCTAGTACTACGCTTAGTCTTTGGGGTTCAAGTAAAAATTAAGTACATTCCCAGGTTCTTCTTATGTCTTCTATTTTCACATTTCCCTACTTCTATCTCATCCCCCCTGCCCCTTTCTCCCAGCTTCCTCTTAGAGCAGAATTCCAGTAGCTTCAGCCTCACAAAAGAAACTTCTACTTCACTCTGCCTTTTCCCAGACCCACTTTGGCAACAGATAAGAAGTAGGAATCACTCACCCAAATAGTTACTTCCTGCCTGGCTATCCCTGATCCCAGCTGGGAACTATTAGCTCTGAAAAAGAGTGGGAGATGTGTGGGTCACCAGGCAGAATTCTTTCCATGGATTTTTTTTGGCTTTCCAGATGAGAACAAACTGAAAACATCAGGATTGATACACTTGGAAGGTATTAATTTGGTCTTAGGGGAGGCTTGGGAATTATACCCAATACTAGGACTGAACCCTAATATGCAAAGTAATCATGAACATTATGTTTTCCATTTCTTTCTCCTCTTTTTGCTTCTCAGTTTAACAAACTGTCAGCTTGAAGCCTGAAGATGGACTCTTTCTCAGAGGAAAACCATAGGGAAAGGAGGGATGTGAAGCTTCTGGTCTGGAACAGAGGATGTTTTAGAGTGGTCAGTCAAATGAATATTAAGTATCTCCCTTTCTTTTATGAGAACAGTAGCCGGAAATGTGACTCTGACTAACATGCAGCAGTCTCCCATGAAAACAGAGTATCTTCCCGATTGCAATGCCGGTTGCCCTCTGTTCCCCATGCCTCATATACAATTCTTTTATGCTCACCTTTCGGAACAACTGCTAGCACAACTGGGTTGAGTGAGGTTCACTTGCAAGATAGAGTCCTGAGAAAAATGGGGTGAATAGAAAAAGAGAAAGAAGAGGAATGTCATCAGGATTCATTCAGAATTGAACATAAAAAGCATGAGACTTAGATTTAAGGAGAATGAGGGCAGAAGACATTATGAAAGAGTTAGAAATTAGAATTCCAAGATAGGTAATATGTTGTCCTGCAATTTCATCATTTATACATTCAAAAGTAAGAGGTTATTTAAACAGAAAATGGGAACGCATAAATAACATTCATACAGGCAGGACGCCTCCCATCCTTACAAGGAAGTATATTATTAATTTGCAGCTTTCCCAGGCTGCCTAGTCTGCACTACTGCCCCTCCCAAGCCAGAGTCTAGCTAATCAACCTTCTCACATCCTGCAAGCTGCAGCAGCTGAACAAGTTCCTGTATCCTCAGCTGACCTCGGTGTTGGGCTGCAGTCTCTTCAGAATTGCACAAGCACTCTGTTGGGTAAGATACAGCCGCCCCCAAAAGTCCTATTGTAGCCAATGCTTCCTTCCCCTGCAAGGGGAGAGGGGGAAGGAGCAGGCAAGTCCTAACAGAAGACAGGAAAATATAGTCTCAGGCACCTAATTCATGTAAATTCCCTAATGTTGGCAAAAATTGTAAGCAAGTTTGAGATGCAGTTGTGAGAGTTTGATGGAACTGTAGGATCTAAAACTTTATACAGTCTAGACATAGTCCCCACAAAGATGCCGCAAATAAAAAAAATGCTGCTGGATTTGTTCTAAGCTGCAGGGAGGGGGAAAGAGAGAGAGAGAGTGAGCAAGAGAGAGAGAAAGACTATATATAAAGTCAAACTGAATAGGGAAAAGCAGGGAGCTACTGCAACAGGTACTGATTAATAGACAGGACACCAACTGTCCTGTGGCATTTTAACACCTGTTGTAACTTGGCCCAAGTTGGCATAGCTCATCATGATTCTCTAAGGGAGACTAGCAACCATCAACAGAGCATGGAAAGATTAAACAACATCAGAACTGGAAAAAATAAAAATGTCCAGGAAACAATTGCAAAAATTAATTTTCCCATCATAATTCACTTCTAAAAATTGTATACTGAACTGCAGATATGGCTGGATTATAAACTCTAAAATATTATTTAAATTATGTCTGAGGCACTTAGCAAGAACTATAAAACTATAAAACACTTTATAATCTCAAACTTAGCTTTTTGCTAAGTTTGCTCCAGTTCCCCAGAACACTGAGACACCATGGAGCTTGTTACTGTTAAACACCATCTAACTGATTTTAATTATTTTCATTCTGAGGAAGAATGCCATGCATTACTATCGACAGTTGCACATATAAAGAGGGAAAGCAGAAAAAAAAGACTGAAGAATAGAAAGATGCACTTCTGAAAACAGGTATGATGTAAATGTCTTTATTATCATGAGGGGGAAAGACACTGAAAAAAACAAAGGATATCCAAACATCAATGGGATTAACTTTATAACAGACTAGCTTTGTTTGAAATTAATTACTGAATTTGTAACTTGTAAGTGGACCAAAACAAACCTGACATTTCAGTAATGCTGAATATGTACAACCTTACAGTTCTTCAGTTTTATAACAGAGTAAACCAAAATCAAGAGTATAACATTATATCCTATTAAAATTTGGTCATGTTCTGATTCTTCAACATTGTTCTTACAACTTGTAGAATATGAGGGTTGAAATATATGCTTCCTTCAATTACCTGCTGTCCTTCCTGCTGCAGCCAATTAACAGCCATTTTACTTTTAGGAAGCAGATATCTCTAAAAAAAGCTTCTGTCAGAAATGTACAGTAACTTGTCTGGAATTCAATTCCCATCAATTAAAAAGAGAAATATGAAACTTCAAATCTTTAGGATGCTCTACAGATTTTCATTAAAACAATGAATATGAATCATAATTCTGAGACACTCAAAGCTAACAATGACACAATGTGTGGCAGGAAAAAAATGGATGAGGAAAAGTCTGACGGCTTGTAGAACAGCTCCCTCATCCTTGCCACTGCCGTTATTTACTTTTAACTCTTTCTCTATGCATGGTTCCCTCAACAGCACTGAAAATAAGCAGATAATGCTCATGCCCAGTAAAACAGATGTTGCCCAGTTCTTATCTAAATGAAGATACCTACCTGACAAGAATATATTTATTGTTTGGGACTGTCGCCTGCACAAGCTGCCAGCTCAGATATACAATACACATTTTCTCAAGCTCTGACATACAATCCACCTTTCAAGGCATGGCTCTTGGTTGCATACAGATTATAAATAAAATAAATATCACCATGTCCAGCCTGACATGGACAAACGGCTAATGTTACACATTCAGCTTCCTTATTTGTACTGGGAACATTAGGCTTGACTTAGTACTGCACCAAAAAATAGCTAGAAAAGGAAAGAATGTGTACAATTTGTAACAACCCAGTACCATCTGATGGTCTACTGAGAGCACTTTATTTTCTTGGTAACTTTTAAATTGGTGACCATAGTATTGGTATCTGAACAGCTGTTATTTATCTTTAATAGCAATGAATATTTGCATTTTTATATTTAAAGTTAAAAAGAGTATGCATGTTGTATTTCTCTTTTTTTTAAAAAAAAGGTTAAATTTGATTTTGTTTATATTTAATGGGATTGGCTTCAAAGAAGGAAAAAGGGATGAATCTTATTTAGACACAAACCTCTAGGTTACATGGCCAGGAGATTCTGCTATGAAATTGTGCCGCCTTCCTGTATTTTTATCATTCATTCACCAGAAAGGCAGGACAGATTGTGAGAGCCCTACTTCTCTCATAAAACAAAGTTAGGGGAAAACATGACAGGTGAAGTTCCTGGAGATAAAGAAGTGGTGATAGCAGGAATTAACAAGCTGCTACTCCAAAATAGGAGATGCTGAGACAAAAGAGCTTAAGGGGAAAAATAGTAAAGCCTCCTCACAGGCTTAGCCATTCTATTACAGACAGGAATTCTGATTTATAAAATTCAGAGCAGCTTATTCAAATACCCATAGCAGAGGGTTTTAATGATCCAATGTAGATAATTGTTTATCTGTAATAAAGACTTATGGTGTAAAAATATTTATTTTTAAAGTACCATAACTTCTTTTGAACCAGGACTTCTCTTGAAAAACCAGTTATTCTTAGGATTAAAAAAAAATGAGCAGGAAATTAAAATAGACATCATTCAGCCTCAAATCAATATTCCCCTTTTTTGGAATTTTACACAGGAAAAGTTGAATGAAAATAGTGCATTTAAATTTGAATTTAAATAAAGGCTATATGAGGAATACTGAGAAGAATGTACTTTTTAAAAACTCAGTAGTGAGGAAAACTATCAATAAATATAAAATGAGTTCAAGTGAGAAAGTTGCTCCTGAATCTAGATAAAGACTATGTTTACATAATTGTATTTGAACAGTGCAATAGCACGGCACTATTTTTGTTTCGTAGAACTGCCAAGTAGAATTGTATGGGCTGTAAAATCCAAGAACTTCTATTTATCATGCAAAAAAAAGTTCTCAGATTAAAGCCCTAGATATAAAACTGCTGAAAAGGAATGCTTGACCAAAACTTCAAATGTTAAAGATTTATAGAGTATTGCCTTTCTATAAAGGAAAGAATGGCAGGAAGAAATTTTCCAAGGGTACAATAGCTTCCAAAGTACCAAAAAACAAAACAAAAACAAAAACAAAACCCTGCCTTTTTAAGCAATTAGTAATGGTGGAAATAGCATATACGCATAGATCTATTCCCATGTTTCTGTTTTCTGATTAAAATTAAGAGTCTGTGTTTCCATTTGCTCCATCTTTCAGTTCTGCTTCCTGGAAAAAAGGAAAAAAAATGTGTGGGGGTGAGACAGTGATCTATCCTATCTCAAGTATGGCAGATGCCCTCTGAATAGCCAGATACTTCAGCAAGTCTAGTTGACAACCACTGACTTCAGTTTCTGATCTCTCTAACTTGACAAATGATACGTTTACATTTACCAGAAGATCCTAGTAGCTTCACGCAAAAGGGGTCAAAAAAGATAAGAGCGGGGTAGTCATAGAGGTTTATATAATAAGCATGATATGGAGGGAGAAATATTCAGAATCTTTTTATTAAGCTGGCAAAAGATTCAGAAGTAGCAAAAATAATTTTTAAATTATTGCATATTTAATTTAGCACATTACCAGAAGATGCAGTAGCCATGTGTTTAAAATCAGTTTTCTTTAACCTGGCATTTACCATACACTCTGGATACTATTCCTGTAACCCTCAGCCAGTCATAGGTTTAAAACAGAGCAATTTATGAAAAAAAAGTCTTATCAGAGGGTCTTGGAGCGAAGTCAAAATGGTAGTTTCAAAGGCACTCTTCCTTTCGTATCAAGGAAGAGCGAAGGAGGGCTGTTGATTCCCAGAACTTTTTATTTGATCATTTGGAAACAGGAGGATGGATTGGGAGCTTATCCAGAATTAAATCATTTTAACTATAATATGGACTCTGTCAAGACTCTCAACTCTCAGAATAACCCCATTGTTGTGGTGGGTATAGACTAGATTTGGCACATTTGTTATCCTTTTCTTTTAATTGATTACATATGCTTCCCATGTTCTTGCTCAGAGGGATTAAGCAGCAACTGCTCCTCAGCTACTGCAAGACAATGTGGAGTTGAGGAAATGCTCCAAAATCAACATGCGCCCAAACACCACATCTCCCACTTGGCACTTCCCTGTAACATGCTTCTAACACAGGGCAACTTTGTCTCCCCATCCTAAACTTGCCATCAAAATATAGTTTCATAATTTCTCCTCAGTCGGTAGTTGGGGAGCGAGAGAGAAAGTAAAAGGGCACAAATCTGCAATGCAGCTAAAGGCAGGGATAGGATGGCTGGTCAAGGTTACTACCCACCGGTCAAGGTTACTATCCACCAGACAGATGATCCTCTGAAAAGAAGGAGTTTTTTTCCCCGCCTTTGGAGTTCTAATAGCAGATTTGTAGAAAACAAAGGAACTCCAGGCCAGTTTCTTCTAGCAGCTATACTGAACTGTCTCAACATGTTATGTCTCGTTCATCTTGACAGTGCCTTTTTTATCTAAGAAACTCCAGAAAAGAAAATATATCCAGCACATCTGAACTCTGAATTAAAACGAACTTTTTAAGATCCTTGGGGTTTTAAAACTAGCCAGCCCTCCAGCCAGCCACCCACACCTCAATTTAGTTTTGTCAGAGAGGACAGCTTGGCCTTTTTACTGTGCCAAGAAGTGACGCCATGAAAAAGATTATCCAGACAAAGGAAAGATTTCCTTGGGGGCTGAATTTTTTCTGCCCTAGTATAGGCATCATCATGCCATTAAACTATGGTTTCATTTGAATTAGAGCTCAGCAATCTGAACTTGATTGGAATGAGAAAGATTTTAGATATGTGGTAAAACCAATATTAAGCTCAGTAAGTAGAAAGTATCTATGAAATGTAATTTCTGGATAATTTCTGTGCTTCGTATTTGATTCCCAAAACCCAGTTTGGAGCAGAGTGCAAATATAGCAGCTACTTATAACTGCAAGATCATAAAAACTCTAGAAAAAGATGTGACTGCTTTAAAGAGTGCAAGAAATGCTTGTTTGCATACCCATGCACCTTCAGACAATTGGTAAATAAGAGTGGAAGAAATAGCTCATCTTGCTAATTTGGCTATTTTTTCTGAAGGGAATAACCAAATTCAAATGGTGGTGGCAGAGGAACTTTCTCTCTGTTTCTTAGGGGGAAAAGAACAACAGAACAAAATATGGGGTGAGAGACCTGAAGGTCTTACTATGAACACTTTGGTAACATTTTGATGGGCTCTATATGATAGCTGTTCATGCCAATCAACACTCAGCCTTGCTCTCCACTCTGAGGCTGAGCTCTTTGACCCTCTATCATAATTAAAAGGAAACAAAGGTGGAGGAAGAAATTCCAAGCATCCAAGACATCAACTTGTCCTATACAACTCATGGCAGAGGCATGGCATAAATATGAGGAAACACTAATTTTTCTGCTCATCTGACCTGCAATTGGATTACCGGTAATTGAAAGGTAAAGAACATGTACCCTCAGGATTTTGCTTCAGCTAGTGTAGTCCATTTTAATGATGATGGGAGTTACCATACAGCAAAACTAGAAGCTCACAGGTTCTCCATTTAGGGGTTAATTTGATCTAAGCAAGTTTGACTCACAAAAAAATAGAGAATGTGCTGCACATACTTGCATATAAGTCCATCCCCAGATAATCCAAGCCTGATTTTGACACTTCAATTCTCAATTTATCTGTTATATACAACAGAAGGAAAGCAATTAACTACCGAGATATAATAAAATCCTTGTGCATTAATACTGACAAAATCAATCAGATTAGAAGGGAGAAAAAGTAGGATGAGAATTAAACTAACAAAACAAATGGAATTCGCACTAAGCACTTTCTAGGTTGATACTTTGTAATATCAGAAGACCTTCCAAACCGGAAAACCTTCCAAGTACCGCTTTAATCTCTTTTTATTATTGCATCCTTAGTAGTTACATAAGATCTTTTGAGTCCCCAGCAGAGGAGAGTGAAACGCACCGAGGGACGCATTTTCTTCCCAGACCACAAAAATGATAAGATTGTTTTCCTTCTAGCTCTCGAAAGAACTCCAAAACGAATGGAACGAAGCTCTGAGGTTGCTCCCGCCTGCGCACAGCTCACCTCATCGCCTTGCCTGCGTAATTCAAAGGTTTCTTCAACTTCTTCTTCACCGGCCACCCCCTTGCTTGCCTCACAGTAGTCGCGTCGCAGCAAGGTGAAGCCTTGCCTGCAGCACAGCAGCCACCATAAGCCGCCGGGGAACGGCATCCGTAGTTTCGGTCTGCGCGGTAAAAGCAGAAAGGGAGGGAAGGAAGGAAGGAAGGAAGGAAGGAAGGGTTGGGCAGGCCGGGCTGGGCTGGTTGATTGAAGCGCCCAGGGCGCGCTTACAGAAAGCGAAGGGAACCTTTTGGCGCCTTGACCTGGCCGTCTGCTCCGCTTGCTTAACCGGGCTCTTGCCCCGCCACCGCTTTCCCCGCCCCAGTCCAGGAGCGGGGGAGGGGCGCGTCACGGCAAAGCCCTGTCGGTTGCCCAGGAAAGTGCCACCCTTTCCGGGGGGGGGGCGGTATATTTCATCACGTGGGTTGGCTTGGCCGGGAATGGATGGCTGGTCAATCCGGGAGCGTTCTCTTTCCTCACTCCCTTGGCTGGAAACGGGACTGCAGTTGGCTGCCAACATTGAAATGCTTCATGAAAAGCATAAAGTATGTACCAAAAGCGTCATTGAAACAGGATGGTGTAGTATTTATTTCCCGGAGAATGGAAAGCGGAGGGAGGGAATGGAAACGGGTACCAAGAAATCTGAAATGTTGAAGGGCAGCAGGAAACCTGGGACAATAAAAAGCATCTTAAATCATTGGGGCTGTCTGCACCTTCTTCTGACTACTCTTTTGGTCAACTGTATTTTCGAGAGAATCGCTGCAGATCAAATAGGGTGGTGTCTGGCTCTGTCCTGTAATTCCAAGAAATTGGGTCAAGTGATCTAAGTTAAGATAACATGAGAACGCTGTTAATAAGTCGAAGCGACCTGCAGTGCTTCCCGATAGGAATCAATACTTGGCTTTCAGGCGACCTCGAAGATTCTAACACAACTTTGGTAACTTTAAGGTCCGTGGACTTCAACTTCAGGAATACTGCTCTGGCAGTATTCATACTATGCTTTCAGCTACAAATCCATAAACCAAATATGCATACACCTCATGTCACTCCCTTCCTCAGATTATGTATGGTTTTATTACTGTTTGCAATTTGTCACCTGGACCTGAAACAATCATTTTGGAAATTGGATTTAGTAACTTACAACATATGTACGTTAGCTCTCGGTAACCAAAAACTATAATTGAATATCACACGTACCGAGCCTGCAGATTCATATTCAGTGTATTATTAAGTAACAGGGAGCATCCGTGCATACCCCCCCCCCCCCCGTGTGTGTGTGTGTTTGCGAGTGCTTCATGACCTGACTTGGAGCTTCCCTTCTGGTTAGTCATTGTGGGAAACAGGATGTGGACTGGATGGGGTTTTGGGCTTTTCCAGCTTTTTGTTATGCTGTTAACTCTTGTTTCTCCTTAGCTATTTTTGAATAGTGAGATTTGCAGTTACTGAAAGTGATATTCTGTCCAGTTTACCTCATTATTGATTTTGTATTTAGTTATGGATAGCTCTGTGGAGCTCTCTTCCGCAAATCTGTTTTTCTCTGCCAGATAATAAGTAATTATTTTTAAAATGAAAAGCATTAAACTTTTCAGCTTCTTTCCATTAGTACCACAAATACTGTGCACTTTTTAAAAGTGAAACAGTGTAGTTTTAAAACAGAATGTAGGTTTACCCTCTAGATCACGAGTGTCAAACTCGTCGCATCACGTGACGTGTTGCAATGTATTGCAACTTTTTTTGCATTGTCGCAGCTGGGGTGGGCATGACCTCCGCATTATGCAACCAGCCCACAGGCTGGCAGTTTGACATCCCTGCTCTAGATCAGGGCTTTTCAACCTTTTCACCCATTGTACCACTTTTAGGATATGGCAGTATCCAAGTACCACCAGTCGCCTAGCAAGGTGTCAAAAACTTGATGACCAAAAAAAAAAAAAAAAAGGTAAAAACTGATGAAGTACAGGTAGTCCTCGACTTACAACCGTTCGCTTAGTGACTGTTCGAAATTACAATGGCACTGAAAAAAGTGCCCCACAAGCCACAGCCGAGTAAGACACCTGCCTGCCCACCCAGTGGCGCTCTTCCTCCTGTCCGAGGTTTTCATTGTTGTGAGCATTTCTGTTGAGGATTGGCAGCGGGGGTGGGGTGGGGCTGTTTGGTTTTTATTCCCCCGTCTGCTGGGTGGTTGCAGCAGGTTTTGGTCACTTCACATGACCCTGGGACCCTGTGACTGTCATAAATATGAATCAGTTGCCAAGCATCTGAATGTAAATCACAAGACCCTGGAGATGCTGCAACATTCCAGCTGATCAGCGCTTCTTCTGGGCTCAGCAGAAGTGCCAGGATCAGTGCCAAGCTCCAGCTGGAGCCTGGCGCTGATCCTGGCGCTTCCACTGAGCCCTGATAGTCCCGAAGAAGCACCGATCCTGGCGCTTCCGCTGAGCCCTGACAGCCCTGCAGCTCCAGCCATCTCTCGCTCAGGCTTGTGCGGTGCTGCCACCAGTTCAGCTCATTCCCCTCCCCCGCTACCACTTTTCTAGGATGGTCACGTACCACCTGCCAGGTGCCAATGTACCACAGGTGGTACCCGTACCACTGGTTGAAAAGCCTTGCTCTAGATTGATCTGAAAATTTTAAAATATTTGACCAGCAGCTAGTCTTTAGCAGCTTTGAGGGATTTACTCAAACTGTGGAGTTGCCAGAGGGTGATTACTCTCATTATTTCTCCAGTTAAGGCAGGGCTTTTCAACCTTTTCACAGATTGTACCACTTTTAGTATATGGCAATATTTGAGTACCACCAGTCACCTAGCAAGGTGTCAAAAACTTGATGACAAAAAAAGGAAAAAGTGATAAAGTACAGGTAGTCCTGCACTTACAACAGTTTGCTTAGTGACTGTTCGAAGTTACAACGACATTGAAAAAGTGACATGACCATTTTTCACACTTATGATCCTTGCAGCATCCCCAGGGTCATGTGATTTACATTCGGATGCTTGGCAACTGATTCATATTTATGACAGGGTCATGTGATCCCCTTTTGCAACCTTTTGACAAGCAAAGTCAATGACCAGCTCAATGTTGCTCAGGTTGTGGGGCGCCTGTGGGGGGTGCAGGCGGGGCTGTGGGGAGATCCAGGGGTCTCTGATGGAGGGGGTGGGACTGGGGTGGGCACCAGGGCATGGTCCACTGGAGGAGCCTCAAAATCCCTCTTGGGCCGCACAGGGGACTCCCAGACAGTGGCATGGGCGCCCAGAGCCCTGGGCAGCAGAGGGCAAGCACCCAGTTCGGCTCTTGAGCTCCTAGGGTTCCAGGACCCTGCAGCCCAACCCAGTCCAGCCTCACTTCCCCGAGGGGGCACCTGACTGTGCTTACCTCCTCGTCAAGGCTGCTGTTGCTGATATGCCTGCTCTCCTTGGCCAGGTTGCTTATGGTGGGTGCAGGAGGGCAAACTGTTTGGGCCAGAGGGAGGCCCATTCCTTCTCCATGTGAGAAGACCCGGATTTGTAACCAAAGCATCCTTAGCGATAGGATCGGAGACCATCAGGATAGCCCAGGAGGATGGGGCAAGGGGATGGCGAAAGGGCAGCAGGGCTGCTGATGACCAAGTGCTAAAGCAGGACTTCCCTCAGACCCTCCCTCCCTCTCATTCCAATCGCCCTCCTTCCTTCCTTCCTCCCTCCCTCCCTCCCTCATTCCCATCTCCTTCCTTCCCTCCCTCCCTCGCTCTCTTTCTCATTCTCATCTCCTTCCTTCTTTCTTTTCTCCCTCCCTCCCTCCCTCTCTCCCATTCTCATTCTCATTCTCATCTCCTTCCTTCCTTCCTTCCTTCCTTCCTTCCTTCCTTCCTTCCCTCCCTCCCTCCCTCCCTCCCTCCCTCCCTGGAAACCATCCACTGAAGTTGTTTTCTTAATTAATATCATTATTTTGGACTAGAGATGACATGCTAAAATATTCCTATAATTGAAATATTTATTTTTACAATTACATTTAGCATTGCATAGCCTCCTCTACCTTTAAATAGGCAATTTCTACTGAGAAATTGTAATCTCTTTCCTCTTTTGTTTAACACTCCTTGTGTTTTTAGAATTTGAAAAATGGTGCCTTCCTTGCCAATATTCTAGATGGAATATATTAATTTTCACAGAAATAATACTGTGCACAAATTTGAGATAAAACATCAATGTTCACATTTCTGATTTTATTTATTTATTAAATTTGTCTTCCATCTTGGGGGAGGAAGGGAATAATTTGTTTTGAATCTTTAAATAAAAGCATGACAGACTCTCAAAGCACAACAAATTGAAAATAACATTGTCATATTCATACTAGAAGCCCGGCATTATTCAAACTTCTGAATCTAGCAGTTTCCACCATTAAAGTTTAGCAGATGCCAAACATGCTTGAGCTTGCCTTGGCTCACAAGCAGCATCTTGGTAAAATTGGGTGTGTTTAGGCTGAGTTGTGGACACAGGACATAAAGGTATAACACATTTGCTTCCATTTGTAGGTGTGCCAGTTCTCTCTCTCTCTCTCCCTCTCTCCCTCCCTCCCTCTCTCTCTCTCTCTCTCTCTCTCTCTCTCTCTCTCTCTCTCTCTCTCTCTCTCTCTCTCTCCCTCCCTCCCTCTCTCTCTCTCTCTCTCTCTCTCTCTCTCTCTCTCTCCCTCCCTCTCTCTCTCTCTCTCTCTCTCCCTCCCTGTATGTGTGTGTGTGTGTGTGTGTGTGTGTCTAATTACGTTAAAAATTTGAATCCTGGGTAAAGCCATGCAGTAAAAAACAAATAAATACGAGCACCAGGATAATATCAAACTAGAAATTGTTTAATAAAAATGCTGAGCTTTCGGTCCAGGAGCCGTGCACAAAGCCGGCTGGTATCATAAAAAGGGGACTCCCATTGACTTGCTTCCATGCTCTGATGATGTTGGCAGTGCTGGCCGACAAAAACTCAGCATTTTTATTAAACAATTTCTAGTTTGATATTATCCTGGTGCTCGTATTTATTTGTTTTTTTACTGCATATATATAATCCCTAATTATACCAAAAATGTGAATCCTGAATAAATCCATATAATAGAAGTAAAATAGTCCGAGCACCAGGATAATATTAAAACAAAAACTGTTTAATACAAAAGCTAAAGCTAAGCTTTCGTCGAC